CTGGAAAATGCAGACGTCTCGAAATGCTCGGCACAAAAACGGGGAGTCCGGTTCAAGTCCTCGGTGTCGTCATCTCGCCCGGCGACACGTAACTATTCGTGCCTTCGTGGATCCTTCTGCGGGAGAGCGAAAAACCGGAGACCGTTTCGAATATTTTTTTACCTTTCGATTCGGGCACAACTTTACCACACAAACGTTCGGCATCACACGGAAGCGAAGACGAATAAACGTTTCAACACGTGGATGTCGATCGATTCGGTGAACCTTGCTTTGAGAACGGGAAGTAAGAGCTTCGGGAAGAAGATCCTCTTCCTTATCGTTCTCGCGGCGAGATAAGCTGCGAGCCACGCGCTTTCCACGACGGAGCCGCGTCGCCGCGTGGGCACATCACTCCCGCGTAACAAGGCGAGGAGAAAACGTAGTTCGCTCTTTTTCAAACAATAATAGCTGTATTACGTCACCTACAGCCAAAGATTTGACGTTGTTGTCAAAATATAATGTGCATGTGCCTAAAAAGAGCAATAATAATAACTTTAGCAATCTTTTCGCAGTTCGCTATTTCTATTGGTCGAATTCTATGGAGGTGGTGGAGACACGGGATGGACCCCGCAAGAGGATATAGTGCCTGTGTATTTCTATTGCTGTGAGTTTACTAAGGCGCCTTGCCATTTAGAACTGGTCATTTTTATTGACTGAAGCCCAACAAACAGTATGCTTCCAAAAACAAGCTTCTCCAAAAAGCACTTGAGTGCCCCTTTAATGCGTAATATACTAATAGAGAAGTTCTGGCAAATGTAGTATCCAAGCATGCTTCATAATTTAATGTCTCGTAATTTTGATTAGTTTACGTGATTCCGTTTTTATAGCGCTATAAAATAATACCATTTTAAACTTTATTTTTTATTTTAATTCATACATTATTTGTGTAGTTTGTTGCTTACTTTTTAATTCATTCTATTCAACTGAACACTCACGTAAAATATCGTGGACGATGGGAGGTTATAACTCTAGAAATACTTTTTTTTTCAATATTAGAGATCGTGGTCCATTAAAATCCGAATAAATAAATAGTAACCAAAAATAATCGTAATTTAGAGACATTAACATATTGTTGAAAAACAGCTCTTTAATTTGACAGTAACCTTATAATTGTAGGATACGCAGAAAGAAAGTTATAAAGCGTAAGAAAGCACCAAAACGTCATGCACGGTGGGTTGCACCTTAAGTGCCGGACCTATCCCGAAAGCAGTCGTCAGAGATTGCGAGCTTGACCCACTTCGGCTTTTGTGCTGAGCTGGGCACCGTGCATGCTGCATTGTTCATGCAGGCCGGAGTGGTCCAGAGTGTCGAACCGACAATTTCTGTCGGCTCGGTTTGGGGTCGGGTTCACGACTTTCGGTTGAGTTCCGGTTCAGTTCTCCGGGTCTGGTCCTGGGGAACTGGTTAAGCTTCAGCCTTCGACTCACTAAAGAGGGTGGCAACCAGCGCCAGCGTGGCTCGAAAGAGCCCAGAATATTCAGCAACCGTTTCTGCAGGCACCAGCTCGTACGGCCTGGGCACCGTCCTTCTGCAGGAGCAACATCTGGTGAGCGACGAGCGGTTGCCTTTGTCTACTGACTACTGCCGAAGAGCGGTACAGCAAAATCGAGAAGGAAGCGCTGGGAGTCCTGTGGGCCATCCAGAGGTTCATAAAGCTGCACAACCTGAGCTCTTTTGTCGAAACCGACCACCAGCCGCTGGTCCGGTTGCTGGGCTCCACCGACCTCGACCTCACGCCTCGTCACGTCAAGTGGTTCCACATCCGGCTGCTGCGCTACCGGTTTATGGTGCAGTATGGCAAGTGCCTCGCCACTGCCAACATGTCGTCTAGAGACCCCAAGCCCCCGCTCCAGCTGCGTCTACTGCGTACAGCGTCAAGCTATTTGTGTCGCAGGTTGTGACAGCACACTCTAAGACAAAAGGGAGGAGAAATATAGCAGCCAGTTTGTTTTCCTCCATTTCACTAACGCGCCCCCAAACGGATCTGAGAAGCAGGAAGGAACAAGACGTCTTGCTTCTTTCTGAGGCGGACTGGAGGAAAGTTATTCCACCTTATCTTCGTGAGCTGCTCTAGGCTTTGTGATTTCTTTATTATTTTCATTCAAACACGCGACATGTGCAGTTTGATAAGCAGTATTTGTGCCCCAACACATGCCCACGCAGCACGATAAGTTACCTGATATTGTGAACCCTTGTATGTCCACCACAGGGCATCCATAGTATATTCTGCTAAGAACGCAGAGCAGTATGCTGGTTTCTCCCCTTCATTTCGTCAAATAAGTAAACGAAGCCGTCATGAACCGCCAAGTTCTAAAATGGTGCTACGTACACCGGTCACGGTGTATGCGCAAGGGTTGCCCGAGTCTGCTTGAGCCTATTTGAGCGTCACGACGGTGAGCCTGTGATTATGGTGACCGCGAAATCCACCTTTGCAGCGACTCTGCCTGCTATTAGTCTGTGGGTCTACCATACTACATTTTTACCGAGTGTGTCAACCGATGATCGCCTTGTGTTCTGTTTCTCCACGCATAACCAACATCGCTATGGCTGTACTGTCGGTTGTGAAAGTGGTCATGACCCAAGACGCAAACCGTCGCCGATGGCACCGTGTGTCCCATTGTCAACCGATGATCATCTATGGTCTTGGTGGTTTGGCTCCGCGCTACCAGTATCGTTATGGCAGTGCTCTCTACTGTGAAAGTGTTTGTGCACGAAGACGCCAACAGTCGCCGAGCTCACCTTCTGTTTCACTGGATGTTGACGTATGCTGTTTGCTTGCACTATTCTATTTCCGGTTTCAGCGTTTTAGGGAGCCATATGTGTGGTTACTGTGCAGTCGATGTACCCGTGGATAGTCTGTTGTGAAACTGATCGAAACCATAACTTTGATCGGTCATTCTGTGTACTGTCTTGACAGTTTCTTCCAGCTTGCTTTTTGTAGGCATAAATTGGTTGAGACGTGTGTGATAGTCCGTCTTTTTATTGGTCCCGATCTGGGGATTGTGATGGGAGCTGTACACCAGCTAGCCTGTTTTTTCACCCTTCGATGTTGAAGGAACAAACTGCTCTCTTTTTTTTTTTAATTATCTCTTAATTCCCGTATCCCCCCTAGGCACACTAGCCAACTGGGACAAACAAACCAGGTTAATCTCTGTTTTCCTATTCTGATTTTTCTTCTTCAAAACCTTAAGCAGATTTTTATCGTCTCTACCCTCGTAAACTGCTGGCAGGCAAACTGTGGTGCACCATTGTGCAGCCTTTGGTTTTCCAGTGCCACTGTGGCCACTTGCCCATTGGTTGTAAAGAAGGTTGCCACCATTTTCTTTTCGATACCTCTTGGCATTTTGAGTCTTAGCAGTGGAGTGCCTCCAGACAATATCCAAACGAATGAATGGTGCTTGGTTTCGAGAGCACACTGGATGGTCTTTTTCTCACTTCTTACAATGTCAGATATTTTGTCTTAGGGTTGCCACTTTAGAATCGGTACGGAATTTCATGGCACCCTTCCACCTTTGCCTGGTTTTGTGCTTCCGTCGAATTCTGTGTAACCCAAGAGATGAAGCTTGTCAGACAAAGGTCCCCGTAAGAGTGGCCGAAACGCTCGGGGAACTAATCTTAAGCGACCTTTCGATATCACCATCAGTCAGCCGAGGATCCTCCTTAACAAGCCACTTCACAGCAGCTGCGTTTTCTTCGGTCACAGCTGTTGAAAGTCTACCAGTGCACTTGTGACCTTTGAGAGAGTTGCGGCCACGCCTTTGTTCACCGAACCGACACGAAACTGTTGCACGTCATGGTGCAGCGTCTCCAGAAGCACATCGCAACCGTTCCAGTGATTTGGAATCATATAAACCACTTTTAAAATTGTAAAGCGCCACCGCTCAAATATTTCGTCCCTTGATGTCCAGCACCGAAGTTAAGTGAAGAGAAGGGTCGTAACATGCCTAAGTCCGCAGCTGACACAAGGTGGAACTGTTGCAGACAATGAAGGGAATTTTTTAATCTACCTTAGAATACCGTGCCTCCGCTCATTCCGCACTTATTGCCCGCCCCCAAATTTCAAACATGTGAAGAAATATGCACTGTACATAACAATGTAAAATTGATGACCTCAGATGAGCCCATCCCCTATTTTTTTCGCTATTATCTTCAAATTTTGAAGGGGCGCTTGTTGAATATTTTAAGGTAAAATAGTGAAAGCCGTTTACAACTCCCTGTAACGCCGAATTAGACCGCAGCTCTTGAGGAGGAGGAGGGAAGGGTACTGGGGGGGGTCAAGTGTCCTTGGGTGGGGGTCACGTGACCTAGGGGGGTCACGTGACGATGACGGTGCCGATGACGTCATCAGTAACGATGACGATGCGGATACCGAAGACGTCATCAGTGACGTTCTGATGATGTCATCAGTGATGATGACAATGACGATGCGAATGCCTGTGACGTCATCAGTGATGATGACGATGACGATGCGGATGCCGGTGACGTCACAGTGACGTCACTGATGACGTCATCAGCGATGATGACGATGACGATGCGGATGCCGGTGACATCATCAGTGATGATGACGATGCGGATGCCGGTGACATCATCAGTGACGTCACTGATGACGTCATCAGTGATGATGACAATGACAATGCGGATGCCGGTGACGTCATCAGTGATGATGACGATGACGATGCGGATGCCGGTGACGTCATCAGTGACGTCACTGATGACGTCATCAGTGATGATGACGCTGACGATGAGTGTCGTGTCTTGACGGGGCAACAGACACAGTAGACCGGAGGACCATGGCCCGAGGTTTATTCCATGGAGCGTGGAACTAGAACGAACCTCTCGTGCTATCAAACTGACACGACGATAAAGAAGAAGAGCGAAGGAACTAAAGCGCGCCACTATAGTCCCAGTAGCGCGCGCTTGGCGGTAACTACACAACACTCCTCCCCCTTTAATTACAAAAGTTAGGAGTGAGCTTGGTATCTGTCAGGCGGACGCCGTTCTCTCGGTGGGTAGCGTCCTTCAGAAGTAGATCGGCCTGTAGGAGGTACAGGATCCCGTTGCGGGATGGTGTGAGGCTGCTGTGGCCCATGCTCTTGTACCGTGGCCGGGACACTTGGCTCGCCTGGTGAAAAGGCCAGGAACCCCTCAGCGTCGTCGGTGTCCGAAGGTACCGGCGTTGCCGTTGGCCGTGTTTGGCTCAAAAGTTGATCGAGGTGCCGACGCCAGATGAACTTGCCTTGAGGCGTGGTAACCTGGACTTGGTAAGGTACTGGACCAGTCTTCTTGAGGACGGTACCACGTAGCCACCTCGGCAAACTCCTGTAATTTCGCACTAGGACATTGTCACCAGGGCAGATTTCTTTTCTGCTTGTCCTCCGTTGCTTACTTTGTATAAATTGCTTGTCGATCACTTTCCCCTCTACCGTAGGCTTGATTACATCCAACCTGGAACGCAATCGTCTGCCCATCAACAAGTTTGCTGGCGTCTCTCCTGTTGTTGAATGTGGAGTATTCCGGTACGTCAGCAAAAAGTGTTGCAATGCTTCTTCCAGAGACTCACCAGCGGATGACTTGCGTAGTGCAGACTTCAGTGTCTGCACAAACCGTTCTGCCAGGCCGTTTGTGCTCGGGTGGTATGGGGCGCTCACGATGTGTCTGACCCCGTTGTTCTTCATGAACACCTGGAATTCCTCGGACACCAGCTGCGGCCCGTTGTCTGAAACGATTGTTTCCGGAATTCCGAACCTGCAGAAAAGTTCACGTAGGCACCTCACAGTGCGCTCGGTCGTAGTGCTCTGCATGGTGAACACCTCTGGCCACTTTGAGTGCGCGTCCACCACGACTAGGAACATGGTTCCGCGGAACGGGCTTGCAAAGTCCAGGTGTAGTCGTCTCCACGGTGCTGTCGGCCATGCCCAGAGTGAAGAGGCGCTTTGCATGGATCATTACGCTGTTCCTGGCATGCTTGGCAGCTTCGTACCTTTCTTTCAAGGTCTGAGTCAATTGATGGCCACCAAACATAGCTGCGCGCCAGCTCCTTACTTCGCACGATGCCGGGATGGCCTTGATGCAGTTCGTCGAGCACGGGCTCCTGCAGCTGGGACGGAACAACAACCCTCATGCCGTACATTAGGCACCCTTGATGAACACTCATCTGCAAGCGTCTGTCAAAGAACGGTCTGAGTTGTTGTTCTTGCACGCGCGTCGGCCAACCCATGCTTGTGTATTCAAGTACTTGACAAAGTAACGGGTCGCGCGACGTAGCGCGTGCAATCTCCTGAGAGGACACCGGCATTGACTCTAGCCGCAGTGCATAGAAGGACTCTTCGCCCTCGCAACTATCGTCTTTCCCACTTTCGAGAGGGAACCTAGAGCGATAATCGGCCTCTGCATTGTCACTGGATCTCTTGTACACCAACGAGTACTTGTACGCTGACAAGGTAACAGCCCAGCGCTGCAACCGTGCTGCCGCAATAGACGGAATGCCTGTCTTTGGACCCAAAATAGTCTGCAGCGGTTTGTGATCCGTGACGATAGTGAAAACTCGGCCGTAGATGTATAAGTGGAACTTTTTGACCCCAAAAATAATGGCTAGTGCCTCCTTTTCAAGTTGGCTGTACTTCTTTTCAGCTTCGGTCAGTGTGCGTGATGAATACGCCACAGGACGAGTGTTTCCATCTTCAGTCACATGAGACAAAACAGCGCCTATGCCATACTGGGATGCGTCGCACGCAACTTGCAATGGCTTACTTGGGTCGTAGTGTGCCAGAATCGATGGTGTTGCTAGCGCTGTCTTGATTTTCTCGAACGCTGCTTGACACGCTTTGTCCCAACACCAGCGCTGGTCTTGACGCAGCCGCCTGTAGAGCGGGCTCGCCAGGGTGGATAATCGTGAAACAAACTTCCCGTAGTAATTTACCATACCCAGGAATGCCTGGAGCTGCTGCTTGCTTGAGGGTGCAGCAACCTTCAGCAGAGCCTCGATCTTCTCTGGCGTCGTGCTGACACCTGCAGCACTGATCACGTGGCCCAGATAACGCAGCTCCTTCTGGAAAAACGCGCATTTTTCCTTCTTCACACGAACTCCACGCTCTGACAACCGCTTTAGGTCTGCTTCCAAATTGGCCAAATGCTCTTCCGGCGTCCTACCGGTGATGAGGACGTCATCCAAGTACCAACTGACGCCTTTCAGATCTTTCAGCATTGTGTCCATGATTCTCTGAAAAATGGCTGGTGCTGAGGAGATTCCGAACGGTAACCTGTTTACGGCAAACAGTCCTTTGTGTGTATTTAAAGTTAGGTACTTGCTCGACCTTTCAGCCATCACCACCTGGTGATAAGCCCGGTTTAAATCAATCTTCGAAAATTCCTGGCCTTCTGAAAGCGCTGCGAACAAGTCGTCGACTCTCGGGAGCGGATACTGGTCAGTGTCAAGGCAAGGATTCACGGTGGTCTTGCAGTCGCCGCACAACCTTATTCCACCGTCCTTCTTCACTACTGGCACAACCGGCGTCGCATAATCACTCGTTGTGACTGGTGTTATGACGCCCATGTCTTGCATCTTCTTTAGTTCAGCCTCGACAGCAGGCTGTAGGGCAAACGGCACGTTTCTTGCCTTGAGGAATTTCGGTACGTGACCTTCTTTTAGCGTCAGCTCTGCCCTTTCTTCAGCAATAGTTCCCAGGTCTTTATTGAACAGATTTTGGTACTTGTCCAGAAGCACACTAAGCTTTGTGCGTTGTTCGGAAAGCGCCAAAACATCTGACCTGGCAATGCTGTTGATCCCGAAAATCCGGTTCCAATCCAATCGGATCGCTTGCAGCCACTGCCGGCCGAGCAGAGGTGGTCCCTTTTCCCTTGTGATGTAGAGGGGAAGCTCGGTCCTCTGCTCTCCGTACTGCACGTCGACGTGAGCAACCCCAACGGGCTGAACGATGTCTCCCTTGAACGTGCGCAGCTTGAGCGTCGTCGGCATGATCTTTGTTGAAGGAGATATCTGACGAAACTGTTGCAGTGACATGACAGAAGCAGTTGCTCCTGTGTCCAGTTCCATTTCCAAGGCAACTTCCTGCACGTTTATTGTGAGTTTTATTGGTTCCATACCAGACGTGGTCATTTCCTTCATGCCAACTGGGTCTTGAACCGGAACCAGTTTCTTCATCGCCTTACGTGGCCTCCACTTCGATTTCTTTTCTTTGTCAGCATGACACACTCTTTGGACATGCCCCTTCTTGTTACACTTGAAACAGATATCCGCAATGTGCGGGCATACCCGGCTTTCATGTTTCGCTGAGCCGCAGTGATAGCATTCTCGCTGCGTCACGTTCGCCTCCGCGACGGCCTTCACCTTGTGTACGTCCGAAACTCTAGGTTCTGACGCATGCGTTTCAGCGACGTTCTTTTTTGCTGCTTCCATGGCTAGCGCTTTTTCGACGGCTCTCTGGAAAGTTAGCTTGTTGTCCTCTGTGAACAACACACGCTGAATGTCCTCTCTGCGTAAACCGCAGACGAAACGGTCCCTCAAGGTCTGGTCAAGTGCGGCTTCGAAGTCGCAGGTTTGCGCCAATTTGCGTAATTCTGCAACAAAGGCTGCTACAGATTCGTTCTCGAGCTGCGTTCTTCTGTGAAACTTTGCGCGCTCGCTGATTACCGATGGCTTCGGTGCCAGGTGATCCCCCAAAAGCTTCTTTAGCTCATCGAACGTTTTTCTTGCTGGCAACTCCGGTGCGGTCAATGACTTCAGAAGACTGTACGTTTTCGGGCCTATGAGACTCAAAAATGCGTGTACCTTGTCGTCCTCGGCGATTCGGTTGACCAGAAGAAACGACGTGAGTCGTTGCTCATACGACGGCCAGTCGCTCGTCGATTCGTCAAAGGGCTCGATGTGTCCCAGTCGGCCGAAGACTTGCGGCACTTGACCCGTCGCTGCCGGATCCCCCGTTGCCATGTCGGCTTCCGCGTAGCAGTTCAGCGAAGCCTCCTCGTCGCCAAGTTGTCGTGTCTTGACGGGGCAACAGACACAGTAGACCGGAGGACCATGGCCCGAGGTTTATTCCATGGAGCGTGGAACTAGAACGAACCTCTCGTGCTATCAAACTGACACGACGATAAAGGAGAAGAGCGAAGGAACTAAAGCGCCGCCACTATAGTCCCAGTAGCGCGCGCTTGGCGGTAATTACACAACAATGAGGATGCCGGTGACGTCATCAGTGATGATGACGATGACGATGCGGATGCCGGTGACGTCATCAGTGATGATGACGATGACGATGCGGATGCCGGTGACGTCATCAGTGCTGTCACTGATGACATCATCAGCGATGATGACGATGACGATGCGGATGCCGGTGACATCATAAGTGATGATGACGATGACGATGCGGATGCCGGTGACGTCATCAGTGACGTCACTGATGACGTCATCAGTGATGATGACAATGACGATGCGAATGCCGGTGACGTCATCAGTGATGATGACGATGCGGATGCCGGTGACGTCATTAGTGACGTCACTGATGACGTCCTCAGCGATGATGACGATGACGATGCGGATGCCGGTGATGTCATCAGTGATGATGACGATGACGATGCAGATGCCGGTGACGTCATCAGCGATGATGACGATGCGGATGCCGGTGACATCGTCAGTGATGATGACGATGACGATGCCGGTGACGTCGTCAGTGACGTCACTGATGACGTCATCGGGGTCACGTGACCCCGGGGGTCACGTGACTTGGGAAGCCACGAGACTTTGGGTGTCACGTGACCTTGGGGGTCACGTGACCTAGGGGTGACCTTGGGTAGTCACGTGACCTTGGGTGTCACGTGACGTGACCCTTGGGGAGGGGTCACGTGACCTTGGGGTTACCTTGGGGTCACGTGACCTTGGGATGACCTTGGGGGTCAAGTGACCTTGGGATGACCTTGGTTACGCCGACGGCGACGGCGACGCCGCTCAAGCCGGGAACGGGCCCCTAAGAGCTGCGCTCTAAAACAAATCAAGGCTTCAATTGCACCACACTTAATTTTTGTTTCTGTCTTGTCTGTTTGTCACAATTCCAAACCATTGTAGGGACCTATGCATAGTAATAGTAAATTTTTTTTGCACGACATGTGGTCCGAGAGACGACGACGAAGTGCGAGTAAGTGGACGGGCTTCTCATCGAATCCTACTCTTATGCCAATTAGCGCCGTGTTAATTTACAGTTACCGCGGTATAATTGGTACCAAAGTGTGCGCGAAGGTGTGGGGCATCGACCGGTACCAGTTTTGGCCAAACGGTACGTGATTTTCTCGATTAACGAGGACCTTTCTCTGGTGCGGTGCGGACTTTTCGGTAAGCCTAACGTAGGCCTACCACCAGTACGGCCACCGGTAACGACGCGCCCGGCCGCTAGGCCCAACCCGGCGACGAGTACGACCAAGATGGCGTCCGAAATGGAAGTGGCCACGTCGATGGGTGATAACATGGCGTCAACGCTGAGCATCGGCAGTTTCGGTGGGCGCACGTGCATCGAAGTTCACGGAGAGGACATTACACCGAAAGAAGCCGAAGGCTGGTCTACCTGCGGCAAGCGCATCAAGCAGATTATGGCCGGCAAAGAAAACGGTGAGTCTGCCGCCATTACTCGCCAGTCGAGACCCAAGATCAGGGCCAGCTTTGCCAAGAGAGTTGCAGCTTCGGTAACGAAAGCGGCGAGGATGCCGATAGACATGCCGAAAGAAGACACCAAGATAGTCATGAGACCACGTGGCGGTCTCAACGTAGGGAGAACGGAGGTTTCAGTTATCATGTCGGTCGTCATGACGGCGGCTCGAGTAACGAAGGAAGAAGCCAAAGCAGACACCATCTGCAC